TAACTAGCTAACATGGCAGATCTCCCACAGGATGGAAACCTAAGACTATTGTCCACACTTTACTTCCATCCTCCTGGAGATCAAGCAAGGAAAAACATGTTTGCTTCCAACACACGAAAAGTTCGCTTTTGCTGGACAGAAATGATGGTACCATAGGCAAGGAATTATATATAGTGAGGGGAACTGCATGGTTGAGCATGGCACTTACCACTCACACACATGGGGACCCTGAGGAGGAGCCGTGGCCGGCAGTGAGCAGAAACAGCAGCCTGGAGCCCACATCCGGGCGCTGCTTCATTCTAGGATGCTCTGCTGTCCTTCAAGCAGGCTAAGAGCTCTATTCCTCACGATTTGCCATATTTTCAGGTAGAAATTTATTGTATCTGAAGGCCCCATTTTACCCACCATAAGGTTTCTCTAGTCTTCTGAGCACACAGCTTACAGTTCCAGTTGGTTGCTGTGGATGCTTGGCTCTCATGTGTGGTGCAGCAGAATGGACGGCGACCTCATGTTGAACTTCAGTATTAAGGTTTCTCTACCCCTGTGATTTAGCTACGTTTCAATTTTGAAGCTTAGAAACTAGAAACAAAAGTACATCTGCTGACAAAAGAGTGTTCCAAAAAACTGGAAAGCCCGGGGAAAACCGAAAAAGGGAAGCATCCGCTAAACAAAGAAAATGGCTCCTGCCAGCAAGAATGGATGAAACAGCATTCATGCAGACAGCAAGCTTAACGTCAGGTCCAGCATGGAACCATGCCATCCGGTGAGGCCAATGACGGAGGGGAGGAGGTGAGAAGGCAGGTGTGCTGACAATAAAGATGTCTCCTGGAATCTGCACTTATGCGAGTGCTTGGACACAGCAGTGCTCTCCGTGGTCCCTGATGCCAGATGCTAACAGTGGCACACACTCCATGGCTCCTACTGCGAAGCCCAGGAGAGAAGGCTGTGCAAACAAGTGCACAGAGCATCAACACCCATGTTTACTACCTGTGGCTGTTTAGTTACCTATCTGACCAAAGCAACCTAAGGAAGGAAGGGTTTATTTTAGCTCACAGCTGAGTGTTAGTTCAACATGGAGGGTGAGGCATGGCCACAGGAGCAGGAGGCAGCTGCCACACCGTATCTGCAGTCAGGTAGCAGAGATGAATGCTGGAGATCAGCTGCCTTTCTCCTTTTAAATTATTCTGCTACCTAAGCCCATGATGAATACAGTCTGTATACATGATGATCTTCTAGTAAATCTTTCTGGAAACATGTTCATAAAAACATCCAGAGGTGTGTTTCCATGGTGAGTCTAAATTCAGTCAACTTAACAAGATTAATTATCTTATTAAGTCCTGATACAAAGGGAGAACGAGAGACCAACACTCAAACTGACAGAAGCAAAAACTAAATTACAGATAATAGCTCACAACTCTTAAGAAAATAGCAGACACTTGTAGCTCTATGTCACTCCTTGGTTCATACAATTTAGGATATGTACTTTTGAAGATGTACTTATTTTTTTATGTGTATTTTATGTTACCTATATGTGTTCCCACACATGGTACTCAGAAAGGCAAGAAGATGGCATTGGACCCCCTGACCTAGAGTCATAGGTGATTTTTAACTGAATGTTGGTGCTGGGAACCAAAACCAGGTCTTCTCCCAGAAGAGTAAGTGTTCTCAGGTGCTGAACCATCTCTCCACCCCTGACTTAGGAGGTTAAAGCCCTCTTGGATGCAGACCTGTATCTTCCCTGGCCCATAGCGGGAGTCCTATATCTAGACAAAAAGGCAGAAGCAGAGCCCAGACTGCAAGTCACTCTGCAGGTCTCCAGGGGAGGGAGGTGGGGGAGGCAGGCTGTAATTCCCTTTCCTAGAGTGTTACCTTTACAGGAAAATGGACTGAAAGAGCAAGAAACATGACTACATTAAGGAGGGACTTGTAGTAATGTCTAAAACTTTACAGTAAAATGGGTGTTCCAGTCAGTGGCTGTCATCTCTCCTTCCATGCTCCTTAGACTCCCCCTCTCCTGCTGGGTTTAAACTCTGCTCCATCTAACCCAAACCCTCCCCTCTCCGTCACTGAACACTTGATACTGCGATAGCTAGGGAGGGCTTGGGGCCCCAGCCAAGAAAGAAAACACTTCTTCCTCCCCATCTCTGGAAATACATGAGGAACTTTACATATCTAGTTTACGGTTACTGTGGAGAAGGAGTATGAACAGAAGCTAGGATTTTAGGGAAGAATTTAATTGTGACTTGGAATCATAAAAAGGTTTTGTAAAGTCACAATGAAAATAAAATTAAAAAGAACACCTTCCCTTAATAAATAGTGAAGTAAGTACATTTAACTATGTGTTCAGTTGATGCTACTGCAAGGGAATGGCTTATCTTAGGTTTTCTATTTCTAGGACAAAATACCACAACTACAGCAACTTACAGAAGAAAGAATTCACCTGGGCTGACAGTTTCAGGGGTGAGTCCATGACAGGAAGCATGGTACTGGAGCAGCAGCTGAGAGCTTACATTTCAATCCACAAGCAAGAGGCAGAGAGACTGAGGCATGGGGAATGGTGCGAGTCTTTGGAAACCTCAAAACCTACCCTCAGCTGGGTGTTGGTGGCACACACTTTTAATTCTAGCACCTGGGAGGCAGAGGTAGGCAGATCTCTGTGAGTTTGAGTTCAGCCTGGTCTACAGAGCAAGTTTCAGGATAGGTCCAAAGCAATACAAAGAAAAAAAAAAAAAAAAGAAAGAAAGAAAGAAAGAAAGAAAGAAAGAAAGAAAGAAGAAAAGGCAGCCTACCTCAATCCTCAATGACACACCTCCTTCAATGAAGCCACACCTCCTAGTCCTTCCCAAATAATTCCACCAACTGGGGGACAAGCATGCAAACATATGAGCCCATGGGGGCCATTTTCATTCAAACCACACACCACTCAAGGGACTTAAAAAGCAGCCGTTTGGCAGTTCAGTGACAGAAAAACTGCAGGAAATACAAAGCTGTGTTGGTGGTATAATGTTGGTGATACACTGGTATTCCTATTTAAAATAATCACATACTTTTACAGGTTAAAACAACTGGGTAAATATGTTAAGTCTGTTAGGAATCAAGATTTTCAGCATGAGAAAAAGGTAAACATAAAAACCAAAGAAGTAAAACTTGAACACTCCTAAATCACAAGTAAAGACTGAAGACCCTGTCCTAAGGGACAGAGATGATTAGCAGCCAGCTCCACAGCGGAAACACTCACAGAGGCAAGAGTGCTGGGACTCAAGACCCCACTTCCCCCAAAGGGAACCAGAGCTGCTGGGAAAGCAGGCAAAGACTGGAGATGAGCAGAGAGCACCTACAGAGACCAGAGAGCAAGGAGGGCAGGCTCTGCTGCAGGCCAAACACTACGGCTAGCAATCAGGAGGCTCTGCTGGCCAGAAGTTGCATCTGACCAGCTATAAGAACATCTGAAACTGTCATTCAACTCTGGAGTAACAACTGGTTACATCCCAAGTGACAGTAGAACCATATGGCTGAAATAAAGACTCAGGAATGCTTTTGTCCCATTTCCTATTTGAACTGTCCCTTACAATAAGCAAATACCCAATGAGGGAACTACTGACACAATGACCCAGAGACATTTCAGTTATTCAAGGGAGAATACATGACAAAGTTGGACCAGACGCGTTCTGCAGGCTCTGGGGACTAAGCACTGAGTAGGAGCAGACCCTGTGCCTCCCAACAAGAACACACTAGCACTGAGCACCGACACGATGGGCTGATGAAGCCAGGGAGCCAGCCTCTGCATAACCCACCTGTCGTATGTTCAGTGCCAATGGCCACAGCCAGGCAAGGCAAGCTCTGGTCACAGGACACCTGTCTGAAATTAACAGCAACTGGGTGGAAAAGACTGCCATGAAGGAGGAGACTCGCCGGCTACTAGCCCCACTTCACACACTGAGAAAACTGTTGACTGGGGGGGGGGGGGGAGAGTGTGTGGCACCAGGACGATGCCACAAGTAGAAATGAGACAAGTCCCAGCTCTGTCCAGCTCATCAAAAGTAGCCATGCATGGACCCTCATTTTGCAAATACTTCAAATCCTTTTTGTATTTGTCTTAATGTCGCAACATATTATAGGTCTTTAATAAGATCACTCAATCACCGCCATACCTAGGAGCAGTCACGTCCTTTCCTTCTTTCTTTTTGTTCAATCGCAGATCAGAGATGAAGACAGTATTATTTTCCCCTTTTGAGTCCTATTGAAAGATGGTTAACAAGACAAAGGCATAGTCCCACGTGGCACAGTGGCCAGCAAGCTGTCGGGAGCATGTCAGGGTTATTAAGTCATCTTCAGCCCCAGAGGCCCTGTCCATTGTGATCACAGTTTAACCCTGGCTTTAAAAACTGAAAGAGGGATGAAGAGATGGCTCGGGGTTAAGACCTGCACTACTTTTAAAAAGGTCCCAAGTTTGGATCCCAGCGCTCTTACCAGACTGCTCACAGGGTTATCTTAAACTTGGATTTCATGGATGTGCTGCACTCTGATGCACAAACCCACAGACAGACAGACAGACAGACAGACAGACAGACAGACAGACAGACAGACAGACAGACACACACACACACACACACACACACACACACACACACACACACCTACCTACCTTAAAAAAAGAAAGAAAAGAAACACTCAAACACAAACCAAAACCTAGCGGCACATCTGCAGATCCTCAACAACTGCCTAAGAAGGAAACTGATATAGCTAAAAGCCAGTGAGTTCAGCATGTTTTTGAACTATGCATTATTGTTATTATTGTTTCTGTTTTGTTTTTTCCACGACAATGTTTCTGTGTGTAACAGCCCTGGCTGTCCTGGAACTCACTCTGTAGAGCAGGCTGGCCTGGAACTCACTGAGACCCTCTGCCTCCCCAGTGCTGGGATTACAGGCTCAGCTTGCACCACTCCCGCCTAGGGAACTTAAGAAAGAAGCCTGCCCACATTAAAATCCTAACAGCATACCTGTGTCATATGCTGTAAGGAGGTTCAGGGAGGCTCAGGAGTGAGGCAGAAGCTTCCACAAAGACGTTGAGCAGTGCCAGCCTTATCCTTCAAGTAATAGGAATCTTGTACCTGGGAATCAAGAGGAAGGCCTAGTCATCTTTCATCTGGAAAATGTTAAAAGCTCTAAAAAACAGGATTTTAGAGCATATGTTTTTACAAAATGACAAAGTTCAAGATAAGTTATTTTTAATCATTCTATATGCACATATACTGTGATTTTTCTATACTTTAAAAATCACATCATGAATTATAAAATCTGACTCTTTTTTCCCTTTTATGCTAAACTATTACATATACATAGAAAAGTTCAGGGAACATTCACACAGTGTTACCATGGTTATTGTGCAGTAAGCCCAGTACTAACCTGGCCAGGTGATGGAGTACTGCAGAACTCCACAAGCACAGAAAGAAAGCCTTGCTCTGGTCTCGTGGTTCTTCACCCTCCAAGAAACCACTACCTTGGTCAGATGGTGGTGACACACTCCTTTAACCCCAGCACTTGGGAGGCAGAGCCAGGTGGATCTCTCTGAGTTCAAGGTCTGCCTGGTCTACAGTTCCAGCATAGCCAAGACTACATGGAAAAACCTTGTAATGAAAAATTTTCAAAAACAAAAACAGAAAAAGAAAAGAAACCAGCACCTTAATTTTTATGGTTATATTTCTTTGCTTTTCTTACTAAGGTTAAAACCCACATAAACAACCCTAGAACATGGGTTTTCTTTCCTTTCTTATTTTTACTTGCTTCTGAATTTTATATAAATAGAATCCTATTTTGTGTGTGTGGACCAGGCTGGCTTCAACCTCAGAGACCTGCCTGCCTGCCTGCCTGCCTGCCTGCCTGCCTGCCTGCCTGCCTCCGAAGACCTGAGATTGAAGGTGTCACCACCACATCTGTATATATTCTCATTTGGTCCTTTGTTGTTCAACACTGATGTTGCTGGTAACTATGGTTTGCTTCCATTGTCATCTAATATTGGGAGTATAAATACACAGCTTGGCTATCCAATCCTTGGTCCAAACTTGCTGGTTAAGAGCAAATACGAACCTCACAAGATCTTTCCTCATCTCCCTCAAACACATAGGCACATAAGGACAGCCGAGAGCGCGCGCACACACACACATCTGGAAGTGTGACTGCTGTATCAGGCAAGTATGTAATTCAACATCTTCTACAGAAAGCCCAATATTTCCACAGCAGCAATAATAATTTGCACTCACTCCTAGAAAGGTCTGAGAGGTCTCTGCTGCTCACTTTTCCAACAGAACTAGTTAGGTATATTATCCCCATAAAGGTATTCTTATAAACTCTTAATACAAAGTTCAGGTTATTTTGAATTAAGTTTTATAAAAATTTACAACTGATGATCACTGCACAGAAACTTAATTCTGAAACTAAACATATGTTCAGGGTCTTGTACCCCAATTTCTCTCCAAGTTTAACTTCCCATTCTGAGCCCACCAGCTTCTAAGTTCTGGGCCTAGAGAAGCACTGACTTGGGCCTGTCTCACAAGAGATGCTCTACAGAACTTGAACATAAACATGAAGAAGTCTGCAGCTGACAGTGTCTTCAGCCAACCTGAAAATAGAGAAGAGAGCAAAACCAGAGGACCATACACCAGTGGGGTACCCATGGGTGGTCTTCTGGATGTTTCCAACTGCTGATATAGTCTTTATTATTCTACCTAAAACAAGTTCTAGCTTCCACGAATGTTCTTTAGTAATGAGTTATGTGAAAGAATTATTAATTTTGAAACAAGGCTTGCCTAGAATTTACTATGCAGATCAGGCTGGCCTCAAACTTATAGCAATCCTCAGCCCTCTGCATTCTGAGTACCTGAGTATTATATACATGTACCATCATGCCCAACAAAAGTTTATTTTTAAACACTTAGGACTTAATAATTAACTTGTTGTTCCTGATTCATAATTTAATTTCACCGAGGTCATAGATTACAATTTGTATTACAACAGTGTTCCGAAATGTACTGACGCTGACTTCAACTACTAAGCTAGATTAGTCAGTCCCCCCCCCCCTCCTTGGAGACAGAGCTTCAATGTATAGCCTTGGCTGTCCTGGAACTTGTTCTGTAGAGCACACTGGCTTCAGACTTGGAGATCTACCTGCCTCTGCTGGTATTAAAGTATGGACCATCACCGCCAAGCCAGACTGGCCAGTTTTTTGTTTGTTTGGTTTTTAGAGACAGGTTTCTCGGTAGCTTTGGAGCTTGTCCTGAAACTGTAGACTGGCCTAAAACTCACAGAGACCTGCCCATCTCTGCCTCCAAATACTGCTATTAAAGGCATGTAATGCTGCCTGCCGCCACTGCCTGGCAGGATTGGCCAGTTCTTATCAACATTTTTATATACTTGAAAGATAACTATGATGGTTTTGGTTTTTTAGATATATTACATATATAACATCAAACCAAGAGTTAGATGCTAGTTACATTTACTTTTTGTTTGCTTGTTCCATCAATTATAGCTACATGAAAAACCATCGTGGTAAGAATGTGCTCTGTAGTGAGATAGTCCGTCTGTGGCACTGACCACGCCCATTGGGGGGTGGAGCCATGGGCGGAGTGACCTGTAAAAGGAGGTCGGAGGGGAGCCAGGAAAGGCGCTCTCTTTGTGGCGAGACTCGGACAAGAGAGGATCGGGTTGAATTTCCTGGTGTTCATCTGTCTAGGTTGTAAGTTATTTCTCCTTAAATAAACATCTATTCGGCCTATTTGTTTATCCTGATCCTTATTTAACCGCGTTAGTGCTCACTAGAACTGCTGTCAATGCCTACTTGCCCATTCTGAAATTATGCTGTTAGGTTTACCTAAGTTTAAAATTCAGTTTACTGTGGAAAGCTTAATATGCCCCCACATAATTTCCTTAGCCTGATGGGCACCAGATGTATGCCACTGATTAACCCATCCATTGTCCTGTTGGTTCACGAGCCAACTTCTGCTAACAAAATATAGCATAAGCAAAACATAGGCTGATTTTAGGCTGGCCTAACCACATGTAGATTCTTTCTGCTCTCTTCCCCAGGTAAGACAATCCTGCAGAATATGCTAAGGTTCTAAAAGATGATAAAATGGAGAAGCAGAAAAAAAAAAAAAAAAAAAAAAAAACACAAAACCAAAAACTGACCTGGGCTGGTGAAAAGACTCAAGGTTAATAAAGGCCCTTGCCATGCAAGTCTGATGACCTGAGTTGTGGTCCCTGGAGCTTAAGGTGGACAGAGAGAAACAAATCCAAAGTTGTCCTCTGACCACCACATGCTTTCACTGTCATACTTGTCCACTACCTACCCCCTTCTCTCTCTCTCTCTCTCACACACACTACATTTTAAATTAAAAATAAAACACCTGAATCCCTAAATTACCCTGTGGAAAGCAACCTGCCTACTAGGATAGGCTGTTCAGGACCTCTACATGACAGGAAATGAGTACATTAGTAAGCTGTTGATGTTTGATAACCTTGCCTTCAGTACTGTGGTTGGCACTGTGTGTATTTTATCTGATTTTGTACAATCGTGCATCTGTTTGGTATCTGTGTGGTATGTTTTTCTTCATTTTGACTTAACATTTCTGAATCCTTACACCCTAGTGAGTAGCACTGACTAAGATTTCCTACATTTTTAAACATTTTTAAAAACATTTTATTCTTTTTAACATTTTAACATTTGTATTCTATATATGAGTGCTGTGTCTGTTTGAATGTATGTCTGCACATCAGAAGAGGGTAACAGAACCTATTATAAGTGGTTGAGAGCCACCATGTGGTTGCTGGGAATTAAACTCAGGACCTTTGGAACAGCAGTCACTGCTCTTAACCACCAAGCCATCTCGTCAGCTCTAATATTCTTATCTTTTAACTGGAATACTTGATTCATTTACACTAGAAGAGAGTCTCTCCCATTTGGGTTTCAATCTGCTCTTTTACAAGAGGCTCCCACTGTCTTCTTTTGAATTAGTTACCACTCCTGATCCTGCTTCTTAGACATCGAGTTAAATAGTCCCTTTCTTTCCTTTATTATTTAGAAGTTATAGCACTAAGGGTGACTTATCAAGGTCTAACATTTGCAGAATCTAACCATTCCTTTGGATGACAAAAACCTGAAGTCATTAATGCCACTTACATTTCTACTCCTCCACATGTGCACTTGTGTATGGGTTCAAACCCTGCAAACCATTATGCTTTACTAATAGTCTCTTATCTCTGTTAGATACTGAACTTTTGTATTGTTAGGACAGGGTCTTGTGTAGCTCACACTAGCCTCCAACTCAACCATGTAGCTGAGAGTACCCTTGGATTCCTGGCCCTGCGCCTTCAGTCTGCTATCTTACGTATGATCTGAACATTTTCAACCATATTAGCCGCCCATCTCCCTCTCTTCCGCTCCCTTCTGTCCTCACTACATCCGAGTCACCATTTTATCTGTCTTCTGCCTTCTGTGTTTCTACTTTCCACTTCTGCATCACTGTAGTTTTTCTCTTTGTTCTATTACTCCAGTTGGCCCCAATGAATTTACCAACGTTAAGCTAACCTCTCATTCCTGAGAGAAACTTCTCCTGGCCATTGAGTAACCACTGTATCTGTTGCTATACAGATCTGATTTTCCAAATGTATGGGGGAATTTTTCTTTGATTTATGGATCTGTTGTAGAAGTTTGTCTTCAATATGTCTTGTCAGGTCTTGCAATTAGCGTAGTGCCAGCTTTGCAGAATTGATTTTAAAATATTTTCTATTCTATTTTTGGAGAAAGGTTTTGTCCAATTAATATTTTTCTCCTGTTTTTAGATTTACATTTATGAATGTTTTGCCCAAATGCATGTATGGGCACTATGTGCATGCCTGGTGCTTGTAGAGGTTGGGAGAAGACACTGGATCCCCTAGAACAGGAGTTACAGATGGTCATAGCCACTATGGGGGTGCTGGGAAGTGAGGATGCAGGTCCTCTGCAAGAGCAGCAAGCGCTCTTAACCTCTGAGCCTTCTCTCCAGCCTCAACATTCTTTCTCTTAAATGTTTAGCAAAATTTGTCAGTAAAATATCGTGTACATATTCTTTCAGGT